CATGCAGGGAGAAATGCAAGGGGTGGGCTTGGCTGCTGCCCTCCACTCTCACAGCTGCGGAGCCCTCTGACGGGAGGAACGCCGTCCCAGAATGGCAGTAAGTAACAGAGGCACTGAGACCACTCATCAAACCAATGCCCTATTTTAATAAAAACCACATGTACATTACATTTTACAAAACAGTCCCTTCCTTAACCCATAAAAGAATGGCAATATTGGGGAGCTATGGGAACAGGTCCCCCTCCAAATGCTCAGGGTTACCTAGGCTTCCCCAGACCCCTGGTCCTGTGCAGGACAGGGGCAGCAGAGCCTGCTCACTGCTCCCATCAGCCCAGGGTTCCTGGAGTCTGTCCGGAGCCCTCAGTGCCTACCCAGGGCCACAGGGACCACCTGGGGGGCCGGCCTCAGCTGGACTCACAGCCACTCCCTGCCTGGGAGGGGTCTAGCCTCAGGAGGAGGAGTGCGGGTACCCATAGTGGTCAGCCTCGCCCAGGGTCACTGTCAGTGACAGGCTGGGCTTCCGTTCCAGCTCCTCCTCCTTCAGGCAATGCTGTGGGGGTCGGGCTTTGAAGAAGTCTGAGATGTAGCAGACCTGGCAGAGTGGAGGAAGGTGAGACTGGGCAGGGTCTGGGCAGGCACCAGGGACATGGGCATGAGTAGGAGGGGGAGGAATAGGGTCCCAGGTGGGCAATGAGAGGAAGAGTGCCTGTGGGGGATGAGAGCCCTCTTAGTAGAGGACCAGTGGAGAGCACTGGGCCGCTGACTGGCCCAGGGAAGGGCTGCGGTGTGCAGGCAGGAGACCCAGGAAAGGAACTGGGGGAAGGTGTCCAGGGAAGGACTGGGTTTGGGGAGAGGGGTCCCAGGGGAGAAATAGTGGAAGGGAGGGGCCCCCAGAACAGATTGGGGTTGAGGGAAGGGGTACTGGGGAGGAATGGGGGAAATGAGGGGTTTCATGAATGGACTGGGGTGGGGACAAGGGGTCCCAGGGTAGGATGTGGGGGTTAAGGGAGGGGTCCAGAGAAGGACTGGGGTTGGGGGAAATAGTCTCAGCAGAGGAATGGGGGAAGGAGGGGTCCCAGGGATGGACTGGGGTTGGGGGAAAGGGACCCAGGGTAGAAATGGGGGGAAGGGTGGGGCCCTCAGAAAGGACTGGGGTTGGGGGAAGAGGTCCCAGGGACAAATGGGGTGAAGGAAGGGGTTCAGGGAAGAACTGGGGTTGGGGGGTAGGAGTCCCGGGGATAAATGGGGGGAAGGAGGGGTCCCAGGGAAGGACCACGGTTGGAGGAAGGGGTCCCAGGGGAGGACTCCCTGGGGCAAGAGTGTGCAGGGAGACGAGGGTTGTGCAGGGAGTGGTCTCTGGACAGCACAGGGGGTGAGTCAGGGTCAGAAGCTCACAGTGAGGCCAGTCACCAGCGCCACCTGCAGGAGGCCAGCAAGGACGTCACTCCAGTGGTGTTTGTGATCAGATACGTGGGTGTAGCCCACATAGAGGGCAAAGGACACCAGGAAGATCTGGACCGTGGGCCGCAGCAGCCGCGCCCACTTCCAGCAGAGCCACGCCTGCATGTAGAGCTGGGATGGGAGAGGACACCTCAGCCTGTGCCCTGCCAGGCCCTCCCATGCCCACTGCACAGATGGCAGCTCCGAGGCCAGGGGCACAGAACCGGCCAGCCCAGGGCCTCCTGTTTTCACAAACAAGTCAGTGAGCGCCCCCATCACCACCACGACCCACCCATTTTACAGCTGCAAAAAATGAGGTCCAGGGAAGGGAGTGAAGGTCGGAGGGCGGGTGGCTCACTCGGCATCTTCCAACCTCCCCTCGCCCCCGCCCCTCCCACAGAAGGGAGGGTTCAACACGGGAGCTGCCAATGTTACAAGCCACCAAATCCCAGGAGCAGAGGCTGCTCCCTCTGTCCTTTCCAGTTATCTGATGATGGAATCAGAGTCTCCAATTGGGGCTGTGGCATGAGACGCCTCACCTCTGAAGACTCTGAGGCCTGAACCCAACACCCAGGGCAGACGATAGTGTCCAGCAAGCAGGCAACACAGGTTTCGTTTTCACTGCATTTCTTTTCAGCATTTTTTCCCATCTGTGGAACTGAGGGAAGATTTCTTTTTATATAAATTTGAGATCCCGTGAAGGACATGAATGGAACACAGAAAACAGGAAACAACAAAAAACTGGCAAAAAAGTCACAATAAACTTTTTTGGAACTAATCAAAATCTTGCAGGAACCAGAGGAACACTTGATTAATGTAATCCAGTTGAGGCCGGGCACGGTGGCTTACGCCTGTAATCCCTGCGCTTTGGGGGGCTGAGGCAGGCGGATCATGAAGTCAGGAGATTGAGACCAGCCTGGCCAATATGGTGAAACCCCGTCTCTACTAAAAATATAAAAATTAGCCAGGCATGGTGCCACATGCCTATAATCCCAGCTGCTCAGGAGGCTGAGGCAGGAGAATTGCTTGAAAACCTGGGAGGTGGAGGTTGCGGTGAGCCAAGATCACACCACTGCCTGGGCGACAGAGCGAGACTCCATCTCAAAAAAAAAAAAAAAAAAAAAAAAGATAGCTTTGTGGCTTTTAACTCATACTGGTCCCTCTCCCACTGCCTAGACTGTGGTGGCCTGAGGGTAACAGACCACACACCCAGCGCAGGTTCCAAGAAGGGGCCTTATTTGCAACTGCGAACTGGGGTATGGCTCGAGGGCTGGTCTTGATCTCACCCAACTGGACATTCTCCCAGTGCTGAGGTGCTACCTGGAGAACATTTGTAGGAAACGTTCACAACAAATTTGTTAGTCTCTGCTGCCTGGGGCCACGAGAGCAGATGAGACAGAAAACAGACGAACCACATAGTGTAGAAGGAAAGGCCAGGGAATAAAACGCTCTGGGGAATGAAGGCTTGGAACCTACAAGACCAGAGCAGTGCAGGAGCTTGGAAGAGGCCTGCGAGGGCCCTACGCTCTCACATTGGGCTGGCCTTCCAGATCTGCACAAGCAGGAAGTGAAAGTGAAGGCAGAGAAAACCTGTTTCACCATGGAAGGGCTGACCCCACAGCCACGCAGACCCCTTCTACAAACTCGGGAGTGTGTTGTGGGTTTTTATTTTTATTCTTTGGTTCCAGATGTTTAAAGAAATCTCTGTCCTATCACTAGCTGACCACCAGGCTAAAAGAACAGGAGGAAATGGACACTCATGACAAAAGATAGAGACTTCACAATCAGAAAAATCATTCAATAACCACTGCAGCAAACAGCAAGAACACACGCCGGGGAGGAGGGAGACTCCTATTTCCAGAGTGGCCACATTATAATATTCTAAACACACAGTTTAAAACAAAATAAAACAGGTCGGGTGCAGTGGCTCACACCTGTGATCCCAGCACTTTGGGAGGCTGAGGCAGGCGGATAGCCTCAGGTCAGCAGTTCGAGATCAGCCTGGGCAACATGGTGAAACCCTGTCTCTACTAAAAGTAC